ACCTGACTTCTACCAGGTCCCATAACCAAGTCTCAGGGAAGAAGGTGCAGATTGTCACTACTGATGGAGCTGGAGCATTACTTGGTACGGGAGCTGCCACTCCAGGAACAAAATCATGAGCAACTTCGGACTTCAGGGGTAACATAACTGAAATCAGAAAGCATTCAGATGTTGGGACAGCTATGACAGTGAAATGTGTACATGCTGTTCAAAGAAACTCACCAAAGTGGTCTGGGTAATATTCTCTTCCTCTGAACTTGAAACATGGAGGCATTGGAATAAACAAGTTTGTTGCCATCTTCAGTCCAACATTCTAGACAAGACAATTGAATCACTTGAAGTTCATGACATGTACAATATTTATTCTTCATCTTGTACATTAAATGTTGAGTACCTGGAAAACCGTGTAAGGGTCGATATTGTTACCAGTCCCAGGATATGGCACCTCCAGGATATGGTGGCAAAATTGATCTTTTGGCTCTGACAGTCAAACATTCTGTAGGATCTTGAACCTCATATGGAATATAGGATACACTGGTCACAGGCAGCAAGTTGAATATCTGAAACCAAAAAACAGTGTTACTTTCAGTTCATTTGGCAAGTCTTTGGAAGACAGGTCTAGTCTTTTGTCTTCAAACATCTCCAATTATCAAAACAATGCCTTTATCCATAAATAGATTCACACATCTTTGATTGCAGCAGGTACCTTGTCTGCAACCAGACCCGTCCCTGGCTCCTTAATGAAAACACTCTTGTCGACAATGCTCACACCACAAAGGGACCCCGGCACAGCCGTCACTTGCATGGTGACATCCTCTTGTGGGACAGCTGAGGATGGCGTAAACTTCAGTGACACCTGAGGGAATAAAGGACATTGCACCCTCTTTAACGTACGAGATAAAGATGACCAGCCTCACACTGAATGCCATATAAATATTGGTTAAAGTGCCACTGAGATGCTCAATTTCTAGTTTTAATAGGAAACATTACAGAGTACAGGTGTCAATACACATATGGAACATGTA